CAATTAACTCCTCCCAGCTGTCCTTGTCCTTTCCTTGCATTCCATTTCTAGCTAACTAATGTATACTTTCTAAGCTGTTGCTCCTTAATAAACTTAAATAAACAATTTTAAAATTACTTATACATAATCGACAGTCTGTCTGAAGTAACTGCCACACTGAATCAAAAATCTTACAAGCAGAATAAAAGAGACTAAAGCTTTTGCTTTTTTACTTTTGCAGGTGAGGCATTTTCTATTGAAAAGTGAACAAAGTTGATAACTAGCTGATTCTGGATGATTCTCAGAATTGAAATCCTTCCCAAAAATTAGCTGCTTTTCGGCAATTTGCCCTGCCTTTTCTGTATTCTTGGCATATAGTACAAAGGGCCATTAGATCCTGTGATCTGGACAAACTGTGCATCATGTTTCACGTAAGTAGTAATTCCATTTCACACTCACATGTCTTTGTTTATCATTATTCAATGAGGCCCAGGCTTTTCACAGCACAAGGTCCTTATCATTAACATATTTGTGATTCATGGAATACTGATTGAATTTTATTTTGAAATATAGGTCCGAAAAAGTCTTCTCTTTGTCTCTTCAGATGTGATTCCAGTGTGGATCCACAAGGAGAAGATCCATATTAATAACAGTCTTTAAACTCAGTCCAAGGTTTAGAAAATATTTTTTATTGAACAATTCACTAAACATCTCTAATATTAAGACTGCAGTGACATAACACTGGACTATTGAGAAATATAAAGGAAGATCAGGAGCTTGGAATGCACATCGACTGAGCTAAGAATGTGGTGGACTGTTAGACAAGATGATCAAGAAGGTAGAGATGATGCATGCCTTTATTAGCCAAGGCATAGGTGTGCTGGAACTGTTTAAAATGCAATACTAATTAGGCCACAACTGGAGTATTGTGATCTAGTTACTGCAGTATAAGGAAAATACAATTGCACAAGAGTGTACAGAGATTTACAAGAGTTTTGTGTGGATACGAGAATTCAGATATGAGATAAAATTTGATTCACTAGAGTTGTTTTCCTGGAGACGGAGGAGGCTGAGGGAGACCTATCAAATGTATAAATTTATCTGGGGTAATTGGATAAGAAGACCTCATTCCCCTTGGCTGAGGGGTCCATAATTAGGGTGCATAGAATTAGGGTGGAGATTTAGGGGTGATTTGAGGGATAAACTAAAGGCTGGTGGTGATCTGAAACCCATTGCCTGAAAATATGATACAGCCATGAACCCATGTAACATTAAAAAAGTTTTGGATATGTACCTGAAGTACTTTGAACTACAAGACTGTGGACTAAAAGCTGAGATTAGGCTGGAGGGAAACTTAATCACCAGCAAGAACACAATGGATCATGTGACCTTCTTCTGTGCTATAAATTTCCATAATTTCTATGATTCTATGAAAGTCAAAAAACAAAATGAAAAATTAATAGGGTACAGGGAAAAGCAGGGAGATTACGTAAGGAGCTCTTTCAGAAAACTGGCACAGGCACAACAGACTGAATGAGCTTCTTTGATTCCACTGTTCTCTTTGAAACATTGTAACACATTACAATAAGTGCCTGATACACTGCACCATAGTTTTGTAACATGTCGATTTATATTTAGATTTCCATAAACCTCTTGGAAATTGGGAAAAAATGCATGGGATTTTTTTTGTAGTGAATTTCAGATGCGGATCTTATGTTAAAAGATATTGGGCTGAATATTATCCAAATTCTGCGCAGTGCCAATTTTGGTAAGTTTCATGGAGGGTTTGGGGTTTCTGTCTGTGAGGCCAGTGAGATTTTCACCTTTCCCAAACTTGCTTCATTACCCATACACCGTGCTTCAATGGCACCCTGCTCGTCATGTCATCCCACTTGCCACTGCAGGCTGGGACCGCTCAGGATTCCTGGTGCTGGCCCCATATTTAAAAACATATTTGTGCACCAAGTCAAGTGCTGGCAGTCCGGAATCCTGCATAGTTCATGTCAATTGGTTCAAACATGTTTGACAAAGGGAAATTGGACCTGGTGGTTCAAGTGGACAGGGTGATGCAGAGGAGAGCGAGCAATGCTGCAAGGTCAATGACCTTCTCCACTCCATGTGTTTAAATGCCAAAGTCTTCTTTCTGCATCCTCACTCTCACCATATCGCTGCTACTGCACCCATCTCCCATCAAGGCTCATGGTCTATCATTCTCACTGACATGTGTTGTGCCTCACTGGAATGGAATTCTGGAAATCAAGCCCTGCTATTCCTGGAGTTGTCATTAAAGTTACATCAATGTCATCAAAATACACAAATTCTCCAATTTACCTGCCAAATAGACCCAGGCTAACAGAAAACATGGACCAGGTTTCTGTATCGAAAAAGAACTAAACAAGAATGATTACTTATAAATAGGTTCTAACTATAGGTAAACCATTATGACTTAGCAATGTACATCTCTACCAGTTAACACTCTAAACCCTTCTAACCTTCAAACACAGACAGACAAAAAAATTGATGTTATGGATAGAAAGGAAAAAAAACTAGGAAGTAATTTAATGGCCCCAGCCCGCAGAGGTCACTGTAATGATCCCTTTGCTTGCCAAGATTTTATGTTCTTCAAAATATATTTTCTCCAGGTTCTTTTCACTTCTTCACATTAGGCACAGGTGATCATTATATTAAGCATGACGTCTCTTAATTACAGGCCAAAGGCCACAGCTTATAGCAGCTGGTGACAGAAAATAAACTGGTTTTCTTCAGGAATATTTGACTAGAGAGAAAGATGCACCATTTGCCCTTGCAGTAGTCTGAAGCCTTCTGCCAGTGTTGTTCAGTCCCACAAGCTGTTCACCTATCCAGGAGCTAACCAGACAGTTGACAAGCTGATGGCTTTGGCATGCATAACCAATTAGCAGCCTGTTGCTGGCTGATTCTCAATTTGTGCACACCCTGAGTGCCAGCTTATCTACAAGCATCCTTCCTTGTTTCTTGAGCAAAGCAGCAATGTAAACATGACTTAGAATGAGATTTAGTAACTTGCTTCTTAAAAATGCAGCAAATCCTTCTAAAATCCTTGGTTTTAAATCAATCCTTTTCCCATTTCAGTCCACAATCAAAAATATAGAAAATTTTTAAAAATTAGGTTTTTTCACATGCACCATCTCTCCTGGCTCACTATGACCCTCCCAAACCCCCGGCCTACTAAGTAAAAACCGAAAGAACTGCAGATGCTGTAAATCAGGAACAAAAACAAAGTTGCTGGAAAAGCTCAGCAGGTCTGGCAGCATCT